ACAGCTACACACACACAGCTACACACACACAGCTACACACACACAGCTACACACACAGCTACACACACAGCTACACACACACACACACAGCTACACACAGCTACACACACAGCTACACACACACAGCTACACACACAGCTACACACACAGCTACACACACACACAGCTACACACACACACACAGCTACACACACACACAGCTACACACACACACAGCTACACACAGCTACACGCACACACACAGCTACACACACAGCTACACGCACACACACAGCTACACACACACACAGCTACACACACAGCTACACACACACACAGCTACACACATACACAGCTACACACACACGGCTACACACACACGGCTACACACACACAGCTACATACACACACAGCTACACACACAGCTACACACACACACAGCTACACACACACACGGCTACACACACACAGCTACACACACATACAGCTAGACACACAGCTACACACACAGCTACACACACACACGGCTACACACACACAGCTACACACAACCACAGCTACACACACAGCTACACACACACAGCTACAAACACACAGGGCTACACACACACAGCTACACACACACACACAGCTACACACACACAGCTACACACACAGCTACACACACAGTTACACACACGCACAGCTACAAACACAGCTACATCACCACACGCAGCTACACACACACACAGCTACACACACATGGCTACACACACACGGCTACACACACACGGCTGCACACACACAGCTACACACACACACGGCTACACACACACAGCTACACACACACACGGCTACACACACACAGCTACACACACACAGCTACACACACACACACGGCTACACACACACGGCTACACACACACACAGCTACACACACATAGCTACACACACAGCTACACACACACATTGATATTGAGCTCCTCGACACATCGCTGCCATACACAAGACGAGAATGACACTTGGAGGTAGTCAGTCACGAGCGTCCTCTGTGGAGACTCATCAGTGACGACGTCAACTCTGGGACCTGCGGCCCCCCACCCCCAACCCCCCTCACCCCCACCTCCCAACCCCCCACCCCCCACCTCCCAACCCCCCCACCCCCCACCTCCCAACCCCCCCGCACTGACAAGGCAGTCCACGAATGTGCACCCCCGTCAATACCTCGCGCACATTTCACCGCTGGGGCTAATTGGCAGCGGTCGTCGCCACAGCGCCGTTGAGACGGCACTCGCCGCGAGTCAATCAAGAGGGACGCGCGCACAAGTGACGGCCGCGACGTCCCGACGCCACGGGCCGTGGCCTTCGCGATGGCTTCGCTGCTGCGCGTTGTCGCCCTTCGTGTCACGGCCCGGCCTGCCCACGCTCGTGGCTGGGTAGATGTTAGCTCCCTCGCCTGGTATGCAGGAGGTCGTGGTTTCGATCCCGAACCTGACGACGCCTACTGCTGCTGCTGTATATTTGTAGTTTGCGGTGTCTCTCTCTGTCCCCGTGGTCGCGTGGATTTGTCTCCGGGTCCTCGGGGTTTTCCCTCCACATTGTACAATGAACGTCAGCACGCGTCTAGAGGATGGAGCACCCGCATCCTCTAGACGAGCTACACGGCTCAGTGGGGCCTTACCTGCGCAAGTAAAACGTCGTTTAGCGTCAGTTAATTTCCTGGGGGCTGAGCCGGGAGTGTTTTGTTGTTGTTGTTGTTGTGCCAACCCTCAGCCTCACTCATCCCTTCGTCTCACTCGAATCCATTCACACTCTCAATGCCCCCCCCCCCCCAATCTCTGTCCCCCCCCCCCCCCCCCCAGTGCTTTCGTGGCAAACATTCAGACATCGCAAGCGGCGATCGCGAATCTTCTCTCTGGGCTTAGCGTCACGGTCATCAAATCATCAGCGTAATGAGCGGCGGCAAGCAGCAGCAGCATCATCAGGCGCGGCACGGATCACGCGTGGATTACGCGTGGGTCACGTTGAGCGGCCACCGATCGTCGATCGAACCGAGGTGAGAATCGCCATCACCATCAATGTGAGAAGCTGGCCAGGCCACCGTCGACAGACGCCAACGTTCCCGAGTCTGCCTACCGTGTGAGCGGTTTGGTGGGTTTGCATTTGCCAGCGGTAAACGGTAACCGAATGGAAGAAGATAAAAAACGCGATACATATATATTCAAAACAAAAGCGGTTACCGGTTGGCAGCAAGGAATATGATTCTGCGGCAACGCAGCGTGTCGTGTTCCCCTCGCCACGCGAGACGCGAGGGCGAGAAGGCTCAGACCGCCGTGCGGTTTGTACTCCCACGCCCGCCAATCGCGTGCATCGATATATCACGGGAAACGGTTACCGGTTTGCTGACTTTTAGAAAAGTTAATCGGTTCTAAAAATAATCGTTACCAGCGTGGTCATCAGACGATACTGACAGCTGATGTATCAAACAGGGACACACTCACTATTAGAGACACTCACCAGTAGAGATACTCACTAGTAGAGACACTCACTAGTAGAGACACTCACTAGTAGAGACACTCACACTCACCAGTAGAGACACTCACCAGTAGAGACACTCACCAGCAGAGACACTCACCAGCAGAGACACTCACCAGTAGAGACACTCACTAGTAGAGACACTCACTAGTAGAGACACTCACCAGTAGAGACACTCACCAGCAGAGACACTCACTAGTAGAGACACTCACTAGTAGAGACACTCACCAGTAGAGACACTCACCAGCAGAGACACTCACCAGTAGAGACACTCACTAGTAGAGACACTCACACTCACCAGTAGAGACACTGACCAGCAGAGACACTCACCAGCAGAGACACTCACCAGTAGAGACACTCACTAGTAGAGACACTCACTAGTAGAGACACTCACACTCACCAGTAGAGACACTCACCAGTAGAGACACTCACCAGCAGAGACACTCACCAGTAGAGACACTCACCAGCAGAGACACTCACCAGTAGAGACACTCACCAGTAGAACACTCACTAGTAGAGACACTCACCAGCAGAGACAATCACCAGCAGAGACATTCACCAGTAGAGACACTCACCAGCAGATACACTCACCAGCACAGACATTCACCAGTAGAGACACTCACCATAAGAGACACTCACCAGTAGAGACACTCACTAGCAGAGACACTCACCAGTAGAGACACTCGCCAGTAGAGACACTCACCAGCAGAGACACTCACCAGTAGAGACACTCACTAGTAGAGACACCCACACTCACTAGTAGAGACACTCACCAGCAGAGACACTGACCAGTAGAGACACTCACCAGTAGGGACACTCACCAGCAGAGACACTCACCAGTAGAGACACTCACCAGCAGATACACCAGCAGAGACACTCACCAGCAGAGATACTCACCAGTAGAGACACTCACTAGTAGAGACACTCACCAGCAGAGACACTCACCAGCAGAGACACTCACCAGTAGAGACACTCACTAGTAGAGACACTCACCAGCAGAGACACTCACCAGCAGAGACACTCACCAGTAGAGACACTCACCAGCAGATACACCAGCAGAGACACTCACCAGCAGAGACACTCACCAGTAGAGACACTCACTAGTAGAGACACCCACACTCACTAGTAGAGACACTCACCAGTAGAGACACTCACCAGCAGAGACACTCACCAGTAGAGACACTCACCAGCAGAGACACTCACCAGTAGGGACACTCACCAGCAGAGACACTCACCAGCAGAGACACTCACCAGCAGAGACACTCACCAGTAGGGACACTCACCAGCAGAGACACTCACCAGCAGAGACACTCACCAGCAGAGACACTCACCAGTAGAGACACTCACCAGCAGAGACACTCACCAGCAGAACACTCACCAGTAGAGACACTCACCAGCAGAGACACTCACCAGCAGAGACACTCACCAGCAGAGACACTCACCAGCAGATACACCCACACACGCTACTGGTTTACAACTGGGAGCGATGCTCCCAGCGGTCTCGCGAAGTTCGCACGGACTGGCAGTGAGCCTCACCTGCTAGGCGGGCTATCTCTCTCTCACCTGCTAGGCGGGCTGTCTCTCTCTCACCTGCTAGGCGGGCTGTCTCTCTCTCTCTCACCTGCTAGGCGGGCTGTCTCTCTCTCACCTGCTACGCTGGCTGTCTCTCTCTCTCTCACCTGCTAGGCGGGCTGTCTCTCTCTCTCTCTCACCTGCTAGGCGGGTTGTCTCTCTCTCACCTGCTACGCGGGCTGTCTCTCTCTCTCTCACCTGGTACGCGGGCTGTCTCTCTCTCTCTCTCACCTGCTACGCGGGCTGTCTCTCTCTCACCTGCTACGCGGGCTGTCTCTCTCTCTCACCTGCTAGGCGGGCTGTCTCTCTCTCTCACCTGCTAGGCGGGCTGTCTCTCTCTCACCTGCTAGGCGGGCTGTCTCTCTCTCTCACCTGCTAGGCGGGCTGTCTCTCTCTCTCTCTCACCTGCTACGCTGGCTGTCTCTCTCTCTCACCTGCTAGGCGGGCTGTCTCTCTCTCACCTGCTACGCGGGCTGTCTCTCTCTCTCACCTGCTAGGCGGGCTGTCTCTCTCTCTCACCTGCTAGGCGGGCTGTCTCTCTCTCACCTGCTACGCGGGCTGTCTCTCTCTCTCACCTGCTAGGCGGGCTGTCTCTCTCTCACCTGCTAGGCGGGCTGTCTCTCTCTCTCTCTCACCTGCTAGGCGGGCTCTCTCTCTCTCACCTGCTAGGCGGGCTGTCTCTCTCTCTCACCTGCTATGCGGGCTGTCTCTCTCTCTCACCTGCTATGCGGGCTGTCTCTTTCTCTCACCTGATACGCGGGCTGTCTCTCTCTCACCTGCTATGCGGGCTGTCTCTCTCTCTCTCTCACCTGCTACGCGGGCTGTCTCTCTCTCTCTTTCTCTCACCTGCTAGGCGGGCTGTCTCTCTCTCTCTCACCTGCTATGCGGGCTGTCTCTCTCTCTCTCACCTGCTACGCGGGCTGTCTCTCACTCACCTGCTGCGTGGGGTGTCTGAGCGCGGCTCCGCGCAGCCTCGCGTCCCCGCCGTTCTGCTGCTGCTGCTGCAGCTGCTGCTGCAGCTGCTGCTGCTGTAGCTGCTGCTGCTGCATGTCGCCTCCCGCTGCCCACCCTGGCTCTCCCGCAGTCCCCGTCGCGTGGCCCGCGGGAGCCGCCACGGTGGCGTCAGGGGGCCCCGGAGTCGTCCTGGGAGATCACGCGGCAGCAGCTGCTGCTGCTGCAGGAGACGAGGTTGAGGAGGAGGAGGATGAATGGCGAGGAGACCGCCTCATCTCACGTCGCCAGCGAGGCGCGGTGACAGCTCTCCGATGGCAGTCGTCGATTGCGGAGGCGCGGGAGGAGTCGCATCGCGGAGGAGCTCAATACTTTACCACCCCCCACCCCCAACTCCCTCCCCTCCCTCTCGCTCTCTCCTCCCTCTCTCCCTCTCTCCCCCTCGCTCTCTCCCTCTCTCCTCTCTCCCTCTCGATCTCTCCCTCTCGCTCTCTCCTCTCTCCCTCTCTCCTCTCTCCCTCTCTCCTCTCTCCCTCTCGCTCTCTCCTCTTTCCCTCTCCCTCTCTCGCTCTCTCTTCTCTCCCTCTCGCACTCTCCTCCCTCTCGCTCTCTCCTCTCTCCCTCTCGCTCTCTCCTCCCTCTCTCCCTCTCGCTCTCTCCCTCTCGCTCTCTCCTCCCTCTCTCCCTCTCTCCCTCTCGCTCTCTCCTCCCTCTCTCCCTCTCGCTCTCTCCCTCTCGCTCTCTCTTCTCTCCCTCTCGCTCTCTCCTCCCTCTCTCCCTCTCGCTCTCTCCACGCCCCCTCTCTCGCTTCGCTCTCTCGCAGCACCTGGGGGAGCGAGGCGCGACCTCGCCGCGGTGGATGTCACTCAGCCACCGCCCGCGGCGCGAGAGCCGACGGCGCGCACGGGCGAACGCGCAGCGCTCTGGGGGGCCGTGGGGGGGGGGGGGGTTGGGGGGTACACCGGGGGTAGGGGGCTCCAGCGGGGTGTGTGTGTGTGGGGGGGGGCTCTCCCTCACCCCCTCTCTCCTTGTGGCGTCTCCAGCTCCGCGCTGCCCATTGGCCGCTCTGCATCGCTGTGATGAGCAGCAGCAGCCTGGACGCGTGGACACGGGGGGAGGTTTGGGAGTGGGCTATGGGACCACGCTGGGGAAGTATGCTCGGCTTGACGCTGGTGCACAAACAACGGCGGCGAGGAGCAGCAGCGGCAGTGGTGGTGCGAGTGGACGAGTGGCGAGTGGACGAGTCGAGGGTCGAGTGCGGGAGTGGTGCGCCTCCTGTTGGACTCGCTTGGCTGCGCGTCGCTGCTGCGTGGTGAGACGAGGGAAAGATTCTCCCCTCCCTCCCTCTCTCCTTTTTTTACGATCAGAGGAAACAAGAAGATGCTCGGTGTGGTCGGCACTTTGCTTCGTTCATCATTTCGTTTTTTTTTCAATGCTTTTCTTTATGTGCCCCCCCCCCCCTGTTTAAATGAAAGATTTCACAAAATATTTCACGCTCTGCTCTGCTCTTTATTACCCCTTCCCTCTCTCTCTACTCCCCACTCTCTCTCTACCCCCTATCTCCCGACTCTATGTCTATGTTCCCCCTGTTTTCTATGTAATATTTTATTTATTTTTTTAGCTACAAGTCTCTCTCTCGTGGGGGAGCGGTGGTGTAGCGGTTAGCGCTACGCTGCTTTACAAACACCGGCCACCGACGCTGGTGAGGATTGTCTGAATAGTTCCTGGGTACCCCCCCCCCCTCCCCGAGGTAGACAGCCTCACGTGAGTACATATCTGGTACGATGTATAAACATCGCCACGAGGAAGACAAAGGCGGCCGGGCGTGGTGCTGGTCACCTACTCTGTCGTGCGCCGTGCCGGCCTTCATAGGTGCTGCTCGCGAACAGCACTTGCCCCAACAGTCTGTGAAGGCTATTAGGGGTATCTTCGTCCTTTGTGAGTGAGTGGGTGAGAGTGAGTGGGCGAGGAAGTGTCTCTGTGCGTGTGAGCGCCAGTGAACACGCGGGATCTTTGTCTTTGTCTCTCTCCCGCCGAAGTTTCGCCCTCGTGGGTTCTCGTCCGCCTGCACGGCCACAGCCGAAGGACGCCACCACTTGGGAATCGCCACGCGGCGTTTTGCGGAGAAGAACGGCGACTTTTTCCTGCATCTTACCCTCCACGTGGACATTAAGGACGTATAATTTTTTCTTCTATTTTTAATTTTATCAGGTAATGCCCCACTGAGCCACGTAGCTCCTTTCCAGGAGCGACCTGGCTATCACAAATGATCGCTCAACGAGAAGTGGCTTAAATGTTCTTGCCGTTGGTTTTCACACCTGATGATGACTGCTTGTGTTGCAGTCGAAACGTCGTGCGAATTTTATTGCTTTATATATATCTTATTATTTTATTGTTTCCCTTCTACGTGACTTTTCCTGAAAGAACCAAGAATAAGTGGCTTATCGTCGCGTGGAAATTCATAGCAGCGGACAAATTCTCTGAACGCGTGATGTTGATTCTAAATGTGAAGGGGAAACCCGTAGGGACCCGGAGAAATATCCACGCGACCACGAGAAGAATATTGCAAACTAAAAAAATATATACACAGGCGTCGGGATTGGGATCGAACCGACGACCTCCTGCATACCAGGCGAGGTAGTTAACATCTCGCCACCGTGGCGCCCACGTTAACACATCTCATCAGCCACACAGAGCTATTTTATTCAGCAGCGATGATTTATTTTAAAGCAAAACTCTGGGCCGGTTGCGACATTCAATGTCTCAGCAGCTTCGCTTGAACTGCTGAACTGCCAGATGTGTATAGGCGAGGGGGTACCGCCGATGTGAGTTCACTGTGTCCACTTCGTGTCACCGGGGTCACGACTCAAGACACCCCCCCCCCCCCTCTCTCTGATCAGACACCACGTGGATCTCACAGGACCAAGATGTTAACTCCCTCGCCTGGTACACAGGAGGGCGTGGGCTCGATCCCGACCCTGGCGCCTGCTGTATATTTGGAGTTTGCGGTGTCTCTCTCTACCCGTGGTCGCGTGGGTTTGTCTCTGGGTCATCCGGGTTTTCCCTCGACGTTTATAATCAACGTCACGCGTTTCGAGTATTTGGTTTGTGTAAATGTCTACGTGATGATGATGATGATCAGGGGCGGAGCCAGGGGGGGTGACAGGGGTGACATTCTGCGTATAAGTGTACGACACTCGGTCTGGCGGACTCCGTGCAACTGCATTGTCAGAGTGTGTCGCCAACCGATGGCGTCTAGTTCAACAGCCTGACTTTCTAATCATTCTTGAAATTAAAATTCGTTGAATGTCACCCCAGCCTGAAATCCTGGCTCCGCCCCTGATGATGATGATAAGCCACTTCGTTGAGCTATCATTAGTGGCAAGGTGGCTTCTGAAAAAAGAGCTATGTAGCTCAGAGGGACCTTTACCTGGTAAAATAAAATGTTGATGGTTTTTAGTTTAGAGAGGCCACACTTGGGCCGCTCGGAGCGCGCTAGCTCCCCTTCACCCGTGGCGATGGATTTATTGGCTCGTAAACACCCAGACAGGGGCGCCTCTTACCCCGTATCTATCACTCCAAACACAATACACGAGGATTGTTTGCACACATCCCAATCAGCCACGTGGCCTTGGGAAATTGATTTTTCTTCAGCAGCATTGGTTCAACGCAAGCATAACTCAGGAGCGGTTTCGATTTTCGGCGTCTCATCAGCAGAGTCGGGCTTTTGTGACAGCGATTCCCTCGGGAGTGGAGGCGATGGCGACGAGAAGCCTCGAGCGGAGCGCGCCACAACGAGACGCACACAGCCGCTATCCACTCACCCACCCACCCAATCACTCACCCACCCACGCACCCACTCACCCACTCACACACTCATACACTCACTCACCCACCCAATCAGCCAATGAGCCACCCATCCAATGAGCCACCCACCCACTCACCCACCCACCCACGCACCCACTCACTCACCCACCCACCCAATGAGCCACCCACCCACTCACCCACCCACCCACTCACCCACCACCCACGTACTCAACCACTCACTCATCCACTAACTCACTCACCCACCCAATCACCGACGCACCACTCACCCACCCGCCCACCTACTCACCCACCCACTCACCCAACCACCCACTCACTCACCGACTGACCCACACCCATTGACTCACCGATACAGCCCTCCATACCCAGGTAATTCACAGTGCGTTATGGCCGGGTACAGGTTGAGTTAATGAGTGACACGCTGGCATGTATGGTGAATGTTAATCATAGTGTACAGCCGTGCATACCAATTTGAGTGAGGATGAGTGATTGAGCGATTGAGGGCGAGTGAGGTGAGTGAGGTGAGCGAGGGTGAGTTAAGTGAGGGGGAGTGAGTTGAATGAGGTGAGTGAGGGGGGTGAGGTGAGTAAGGAAGTGAGGGTGAGTTAAGTGAGGTGATTTAGCGAATGAGGGTGAGTGAGTTGAATGAGGTGAGTGAGTGAGGGGCAGTGAGGTGAGTTAGAAAGTGAGGGTGAGTGAGTTAAGCGAGTTGAGTGAGGGAGTGAGGGGGGTGAGGTAAGAAAGTGAGGGTGAGTGAGAGTGAGTTGAGGGAGTGAGTGAGGGGGAATGAGGTGAGGTAAGGAAGTTAGGGTGAGTCAGCGAGTGAGGGGGGTGAGGTAAGGAAATGAGGGTGAGTGAGGGTGAGGGAGTGAGTGAGGGGGAGTGAGGTAAGAAAGTGAGGGTGAGTGAGGGTGAGTGAGTTGAGTGAGGGAGTGAGGTGAGGTAAGGAAGTGAGGGTGAGTGAGCGAGAGTCAACCATATAGTGTATGTGGATGCTCTGGTGATTGCTGCCCACTGAGAATGAGTTTGAGACGCTACTGCTGAACCTGGAGCGCGCTACTAAGATATTGGCCATTACCATCAGCCCCACTAAAACAAAGCGCCTTGCGTGGCTATTTTATTTCATCAAATGCCCCACTTCCTCAGCTCCCCATTAGTGATGGGGAAGTTGTGAAGAGAATGGAGAAGTCTCCGTACCTGGGAAGTTGTGAAGAGAGTGGAGAAGTCTCCGTGCCTGGGAAGTTGTGAAGAGAGTGGAGAAGTCTCCGTACCTGGAAAGTTGTGAAGAGAATGGAGAAGTCTCCGTACCTGGGAAGTTGTGAAGAGAGTGGAGAAGTCTCCGTACCTGGAAAGTTGTGAAGAGAATGGAGAAGTCTCCGTACCTGGGAAGTTGTGAAGAGAGTGGAGAAGTCTCCGTACCTGGGAAGTTGTGAAGAGAGTGGAGAAGTCTCCGTACCTGGGAAGTTGTGAAGAGAGTGGAGAAGTCTCCGTGCCTGGGAAGTTGTGAAGAGAGTGGAGAAGTCTCCGTGCCTGGGAAGTTGTGAAGAGAGTGGAGAAGTCTCCGTACC